GGGGTTCACGGCGGAGCCCTCGCCTGGCACGCGCAAGCGGCTGGGGCGGACGTGGGGAGGGCCGTGGTGGGGCGAGGGTGCATCAGCGGAGTGGCTCCAGCTCTCGATTCGCCTTCCCCGGAGGCGGCGCAGGTCGGACGGTCCGAAAGGAGGCTCTGGCCCAGGCGTGCTAGGAACGGAGTCAGCCTCGGGCGCCGCAGCCAAGCGCTGAGGCCCAGGCAGCTCCCGGCTGAGGGGAGGGATGGCACCCCTGCAGCCCGGCTCAGACAGCTCGGGTACATCTGGCAGGTAGGCAGGGCCGGAGTCTCCGAGGCCAGACAGGTGTCAGGGAGCTGCCAGGACTCTCCCTCCCATAGACAGGGTGTCTGTCTGGTCCTTGCTCAGTGCAAGGAGCCAGGAGAAGCCTTGCTCTGAGCCAGATGCAGAGGCGGGTCCCTAAGAGTGGGGGGAGACCCACGGGGAGCTGTATTTGGAACCCCCTGTGGCTCCTTCACACCGCTGCTCCGGGTTCTCCAGTGGGGACGGCGCTGCCATGGAAAGGCTGGGTGTGGAGCCAACTTGAGCCATTTGGCACCTTGCCCCACTGCCAGCCCCCTAGTCCCAGCTCCCACAGAGCTCCAGCACTGCCGGGGGGCAGGGGAGGGAGGTATTCCTGAGCCAACTCCTCCTGGGTGCCGGAGCATGCTCTCCCACTGCCCCCTTTTCCTGCAACTTCTCTAGCTGGCGATTGTGTTTGCACGACCCAGTGGGGAGGGGGCCCTGTCTCACAGACCTTCCGTATCTCTTGACTTCCCATGTCGCTCCCTTCCCGTGTTGTTGTGCTGGTGTGTAGGCCGCTGCCCACTGGGTGCGCTGCACGGGCGCTCGTGCTGAGAATAGCCTTCTGCAGCACCAGGGAAGCCGGCCAGGAAGCCGGCTACGCATCTGTCCGTTTGCCTAACGCCGTCTGTATAGATTAACTTATTCCCCTGGACTCCCTCACCGTGGGTTTGAAAGCTCTCTGTCTAGTGACCTTCTCCTATGACCCTGCCTCGGTTTCACTGGACCCTGTAGGTTGTTATTGCAAAGAGACTCTTTCATCCTTTCTCCCTTCTGAGTTCTGTATCGTTCTGTATCATTTTAATGTGTGCAACATATCTGTTTTTTGGAAGGGGGGGAGGGCTGTACCGGGAGGGGGCGGGGGGGATATTTTGTGTACGTGCTGGGATCCGTCCCACTCTTTTTCATGATCGCTTTTCGGCAGATCAGCTCAGCCAGGTGGCGTTTGTGATGGAGGCTTGGCAGCCCGTTCTAGCCAACGGGGCCACGCTGCCGTCTGAGTCGGCCATCGGTGTGCCCGGTGTGGAAAGACCCTCCCGGCTGTGGCTCCGAGGGGAGCTGGGTGGAAGCGGGGTGCGGGACTGGCGGGTCGGCAGCGTGTCTGTCCTGAATTGGTGGAGAAAGTGGGCGCGAGCTTTATTAAAAAAAAAGCGGTGAAGGGAGCGCGGAGCTGGCTGGGAGGCGTGGGGAAGGATGGAAATAAAGGTTTGTAAAAGAGCCAGCAGGGCCCGTGGCTTTTTTGGGGTTACCGGGGGAAAGGGGGCAGCGGCTTTCCATGTTGGGGCTCGATGGAGAGTGAAGAGAACCAGCTAAACCCTTATCTACTCCCTTCCCTGACGCCAAGTCAGGCAGTTGAGCTAAAGAAAGGGGAGGCCTCCGTAGAGTGTGAAAAGTGCCCCCCCCATCCCAAGAAGCAACCCCCCGGGAGACGGCAGGGGTTTATCGGCCCAGGACCTTCCACCCCCTGGGAGGCCACGGAGCCCTGTGTTCCCCTCCTTGCCCTAACGGGAGCAGCTGCCCCATTGCGCTCTGCAGCGGGTGGCTGGCCGAGAGCCGCAGCGCAGAACGTCAGAGCTCGCGGTGCCGCCTGGCCTGGTGTGGCCTCCCCGTGCCCAGGGCCGCTCCATCTCTCCAGCCCCGCTGCGCGTCGTTCGGCTGCTTTGGGCTTCCTCTCCCAGCTGAGGCCAGCGCCGTGCGGCTCCCACCAGGATGCGGGAGGGAAGACGTTTCCCATCCTAGACTCCTGCCAGGTCAGCTGAGGACAGAGCCTCCTCTCTTCCCTGGAGAGAAGGGCCCGGCAGCCAATCACGGCACAGAAAAGGGACCAACGCTCTGTGGGAAGCCAAACGTGATTTGCCCCCGACTGAGCAAGAAAGGCAAAGTACCGGGCCTCTCTGAACGCCGCCCCCTCGCCGAGCAGGCCGTGGGCCCCGGGCAGGCGCCATCGAGTGGATTTCAGGAGTGGAATGCGGGGCTGTGTCTGTGTGATTTGGGGGTTGTTATGGCGACAGCGAGGACTCATTCCAAGTCAGCCAGCAAAGGCTGGGGTGGAAATCTGTGTGAAGGGCTGGATCTCACGTCGGAGCCTTCCCGGCCGTCTCGGAGACAGGCAGACGCAAGTGTCCGGGATGGAGAGCCCCGCCGGCTGGTGGGGGAAGGGGAAAGTCACATGCGGCATGAAAACTCTCCGGAGAAGAGATGCTGTTTGGGGAGCAGCCCTAGGGAATCCCCTCTCTAGAGAATCAACAGCTGCCTGCATCCAGCAGGACGCAGGGGGCTCAGAGGAACTCCACCTAGCGATCCTGCAGACCGAGGGCATTTCCCACCCAGGCTGTGGGGCTGCCCCCTCTCAGGGTGCACAGACCGGTCTGAAGAGGGAGTCGAAGAAAGCACCTGGCCGGGAGGGTGGTGTGTGATTGCACCAGTGCATGGTGGCTGGGCAGGAGGCTGTTGAAAGATGCATCATTTTTTGTGGGCTGTCTGGGCACAGCTGCTGCCTTGTCAGCCGGGCTGTTCAGCGGGGAAGGAATAGAGGGAGATACATACCCCTATGCACACACCCACCCACCCCTATGCATGCACTCACCCACCCACCTATGCATGCACACACACCCATGGACACCCACCCACACCCATGCATACACATACACACCAATGCATGCACTCACCCACACATGCACACCCATACCCATACACCCCCCGCTCCATCTCTCCAGCCCCGCTGCGCGTCGTTCGGCTGCTTCCCACCAATGCACGCACACACCCATGCACACCCACCCACACCCATGCATACACATACACACCAATGCATGCACTCACCCACACATGCACACCCATACCCATACACCCCCCCCACACACCCATGCATGCACACCCATACACACACACACACTCCCATGCATGCGCGCACACACCCATGCACACCCACCCACACCCATGCATACACACACAAACCAATGCATGCACTCACCCACACATGCACACCCATGCCCATGCACACCCCCCACACACACTCATGCATGCACACCCATACAACACACACACTCCCACACATGCACACCCATGCCCATACACCCCCCCCCACACACACCCCTGCATGCACACACCCATCCATGCATGCACACACCCACACCCACACCCACGCACCCATCCATGCATGCTCCACGCACACACCCTCAGGGGTCCTCCGGTACCTGCGCCAAGTGTTGTTACTGTTTTTTATCTTCCAGGTACGTCACAATGTGGCCGCAGACTGTGTCCATGGAGCCCCCTTGCAGCTCCTGGAATGGCCATTTGTGCTGCCTGCTCCTCTGCGTTGGTCCCCATCATGCGCCCCAACCCCCCCTGGGCCCCCTTCCCTTTAGGGCTCAGTTCCCCCCTTACCTCGGCTCCACCTGCCTTGGGGGGGCAGCCATCCCGCTCCGCCCTTGGAGTTCCCTCTGTTTGTCTTTCCACTGCCCATCTGGGGTCTACCCCACAACTCCATTTCGGCCCCCCCAGGCGTTGCCCGGTGCCTGTCCCGTCCCTGCTAGGGTGTCCTGGCCCACACCTCGCCGGCTGATGGATTTTGGGCCCCTCCAGTGTGAAGCCCCTGGGCAGCTCTGTCTGTTTTGGGCCTGCTAACTGGGCCGGGTGGCTTTGGTATTGACTCTCCCTTCGGTTGTCGTTGTCCAGTACCCCCTTACTCCTTCACCCCTTCTGCAACTTTGAGTGTCCCCTCCCGACCCCACTGCAGTTTCACCAGCCTGCTCTACACAAGCAACCCTGCCGCTGATCCACTCACCCCCACATCTGGCCTTCACAACACTGCCCCCCAACCCTGCAATGTTCCCTCTACTCTCTTCCATCCAAGTGCGAATTTTTTTCCACCCATGTGCATAAAAAATTTTGTTTTGTGCACCGAGGCATATGCCAATGTGCACCACCTGTAGAAACTAAACCTAGCTGTGGGCGTTCTGCGAATCAGCTGGGCAGCATTGGACTCTCTCCTGATCCTCTTACAGAGAACGCTGACCCTGGGAGCCGATTGCGGTTACTCCTTCCAAGAGCTTCCCATCGCCGCAGTGCAGCCGCTGCGCTCCTGCCGCGCACATGCCGGCAGTGCCACAGAATGGGGCCTTTCCCCCCACAGGCAGCAGGCTGTATCCCGGCTGGTCAAAGGGACTGTATTTTATTCCTGCCTCGCACCCGTAGCTCTCGCTACTGCGGGAA